AAGAGTTTTATTGATTCTCTATCCTTAAGGTTTGATGAATCAAATTACCTTGGTTTAAATCGCCAGCATAAAGAACTTCATAAAACCTTTTCCCTTCATGTTCTACATCTTTCTTTTTGTTACTTGTATAGTACCCTTTGAGAGAGCTTTTATTAGTTTTCCAGGTTTCTTTAAAGGGGCAGGTTTCTTGATAAGTTGATAAAATTGCTTAAATTATCCCTGTTTATTCTTTTTCTATATTTGAAAACCAAACCTATCCATTCAGTTTTTTTGAATCAGCCTCAAATAATATTTGAACTACCTCTTAATCTGAATCATTAAGGTAGGTTCATACCACCTAGATATTACTTTTCTGAATTATTTTTCCTGCATTTTATCTTTTATTTGTATTGATGAGTCATGATGTTCTCTAATAAATTTAAGTTAAATTTTGGCATCGATAGTTGCTCTAACATCACTTTACCCTATATAAAATTCAGCATGGTTTGGCTTACATCAGTGTAATCTCTTCGTAGGTTTAAAGTTGCATAGCAGTACAGCATGATCTGATACATTAATTACTATCAATTTTCTAGAATCCTCAAGTATATTGGAAAAATCTGATATAGTTAATTTTTCTCCTTATAGGTAGCTTAGTTATTTGAGAAAGTCAGTAAATTTCCATGTCTTACGATTATTGCATGCAGTTTTTTAATGTGGAAATTGATATCTCCCACTATAATTACTTTTGAATTAGCAGTGATGTTAAAGATTCTAGTAATTAGCCAGCTTAATTCATTGATCAAAACCTTAGCTGGCTGCGAATTAGTGAAATGTAGCAGGTGATTAGTATGATGCTGGAGTCTTAGGTTGCATTAATCAATCATATATTATTTGAAATAGTCTTCAAAAATCAAAATGCAATGACTGAGGACCATATCCCTCCAATGTTTATTAAATGGAGCTTGAACCCGCCAAAATTTTTTGATTTAAACTTGGAGCTAATCTTAGTTTCAGAGAAGCCAATAAGATTGGGTTTTTGTGTATCATTTAAAAAAGTTTAATAACTTGGCTTTTCTTTGATTTACAGTTCTTTAAATTTAGTGCTAATATCTTAAGGAACTTAACTTTCACGCTCGACATCGCTTTGTTCAGTATCTTTCACTTGGTGTCATGGATCTCTTATTTCCTATTCATCTCATCGCTTTTTCATAGACTTGTCCATAATATCTAAGTTCTATTTATTGCTTGCTTAGTGTCGAATTTAGCTGCTAATGAAGAGCGACTGGGCTAATTATCTCAATTCTGAGCCTCCTATACATATTTGGAGGTTGATACCGGATTGATCAGCCATTGCTATTGGACTAAACTTTGAGGATTTAGCTGAAGAATGGAGTCTTCTGTTAGCAGTTGATATTAACTGAAATTCCGACGGCTTATGACTTGCCATGAATTCTTACTTAAATGTAAACTCAAAGAATCAACTTTAATTTAAGATTATTGCTATCCAGTCTCCATTTTTATGAGTTAATTAAAAATAATCATAATAATTGATCACAATAATTAGCACTCAATTTATTTTTGTATGGAATTGGGTTTGGGGTTTTGGGGTTTTGGGG